GAAATATTTCTATTTGGAAATGTTGCTTTATTTCCTTGTGGGAGCTGTAGTTCAGGTTCCTCATCTTCCCATTCTCCTCTATAGGCCAGGCTCCTGGTTGGACTACATCTCCCATGATGCCCTGTGGTCTTCTCTGTTGGGGAGGGGGAGAGAAGATGTGCATCATAGAGTCCCTGGCCCTGGTGCATCACAGGAGATGTAGTCCAGCTGGGGAGCCCAGCCCATAGAAGAGACCGGGGACACGAAGAAACTAAACTGCAACTCCCATGTGGCACCAGGGCAAAGAGTTTTATTTTCAGGCATTCTGGTTTTTTAACCAAAGAACCGACACACATTTTCTGCAGAAAGCAAATGCTGTTAGCAAACAACAAATTGTCTAGCCGAAAGCCCAATTTTCCATTGAAAATTGATTCAACAGAAAAATGTCAACCAGTCCTCCCTGTGAATTAGTAGCACACGGGCTTACGCCTCTTACGCCTTCATTGTCTAATATGACTGTGGATGGTCTCACCATCCATCTAAATAATGGATTCATTTGTACTCCTGCTATGATTCATGCCTCAATATCTACCACCCACATTTTTCCCTGCATTACTAGGCCAGTGTATATTCTTATCATATATACAAGAATGTGTTAAAGCTTGTGACGCAGGCCCCATCTTGCAGCCCTGACTGGTAGCAGTCCAGTCGCCTGTGGAAGAAAGGAAGAAACACACAGGTGCCAGTTGGCCTCATTGCGGTCTTCATCCTCTTTGTGCTATCTCAGCCTGTGACCTACATGAGGCTCAGCACAATGCCTTGGGTGTGAAGTGAGATCTCTGTGGGGAAAGGTTACAGAGATGAACGGCCAGCTGTCACTGAGCTGAATTTGTTGCTGGTTTATTGTGTCAGTTTAGTTTGGTGTCAGCCCTGATGGGAACGCTGGGTGAATACTGTTACCAAAAAAAAAGCAACCGTTACTCTCGGATGTATTAGCTGGAGCATTGTAAGCAAGATGCGAGAAGTGATGGTTCTGCTCTACTCAGCACTGATAAGACCTCAGCAGGAGTATCGTGTCCCATTTTGGGCGTCACGCTTCGGGAAAGATGTGGACAACTTGGAGAAAGTCCAATGGAGAGCAACAAAAATGAGTAAAGAAAACATGACCTACGAGGAAAGATTAAACAAACCCAATTTTTTTTCAGTCTGGAGAAGAGAAGACTAAGTGGGGACATGACAGATTTCACGTACATAAAAGGTTGTTGTAAAGAGGAGGGTGATAAATTGTCCTCTTTAACCACTGAGGATAGGACAAGAAGCAATGGCCTTAAACTGCAGCAAGGGAGGTTCAGGTTAGACATCAGGAAAAACTTCCTAGCTGTCAGGGTGGTTAAGCACTAAGAACCTAGGGAGGTGAGGTTGTGGAATCTCCATCATTGGAGGTTTTTGAGGACAGGTCAGACAAACACCTGTCAGGGATGGTCTAGAAAATACTTAGTTCTGCCTCAGTGCAAGGGGCTGGACTAGACGACCTCTCGCAGCCCCTTCCTGGCCTACAGTTCTATGAAAGTCTGAAGTCAGTGGGAGTTCTGCTATTGACTTCAGTGGGGCCAGGATGACACCGTCGGCCGTGGGGCAGAGTTAAGGCCGTGTAAAGTGAATGCTACTGCACCTGGGGGTGGGGCGGGGGGGGGGGGAGAATGAGAGCTTTAAAGGCCATGTGCCCCCAAAGTGAGGGACAGTGGCTGAACAGGAGCGGATGATTCAATGTCACCTCTGGTAGAGCCCTGGTGTGAAATAAGTTTGCCCCCTTGCAGCCTTCAGGTGGGGAGAAGAGGCAATAAGGTGGGGTCGATTTTGCCACCCCAGAGGGGAACGGGAATTTCCCCCCCCCCCTTACAGCAGGGGGTTTAGCTGCTACAGGCAGAGCTGTGTCATAATGCACTGCACTGCACTGCAGGAGGTTTGTGGGGTTGACCCAGTGTTTATGTGACGATGGACTTTGAGCGTTGGTCACACACAAGAGAGCAGGAGAGTGATTTCTCTCTATCCTATGCAGAATTGAACTCCTCCAGCAGGAGACACTGGACTTATTACCCCTCATCTCCTCTTGCCCCCAACCCCCAGCAGATCTTCTGTGGCTTCCTGACAGAATCTGATCCCAGCTACCCTAGGGCAAATACAGAGTAAAGCAGTTAACTGAGGAGAGTCACTCCAGATTTACAGCGGAGTCACTGAGACCAAAATCCATCCCTGACTCCACTGCCTGCAGTGGGGATCGCTCCAGGTCAACGAAGACCAGACTCCAGCCCTGACTCTATTGATGTCAGTGGGGTCGCTCCAGATTTACACAAGTGTCACCGAGGTCAGAATCCGGCACTGAGAGCTCACTCCGGATTTGCACCGGTCTGAGGTCAGAACCTGGCCTTAATTCTACTTCTGTTAATTATTCAATATTTGTGTTATAGTCGTTCCCAGGGGCCCCCTTGCACTGAGCGCCG